GACAAGGAAGCATACATGTAATTATTACAGTAAAATATTTCCTGATGTCCCATAGCTGAAGATTCATTTCAGAAAGCACATTGGCGAGAGATTACCAATTACGAGCAGTGCCTTAAAAAGGCTGGAACAGCGGGAATATTGAGATGTCATTACAAAGTCATTACAAAGGAATTAAGGAGTCATTATTTTACAAAAGCCACTCAAATGCGTTTACTGCAATTCGAGCATCACGTGAAAAAGTGATTTGGAAGAGTGCATGCAAACTCATTTTCGCGAAACGCCACACGACTGACTGCATGCGGCGGGGTAAAACACTTTGCCAACTTCACTACCGTTCAAATACTTTACAAAATGGCAAACGCTTAATTTTTTGGCGCGTACTAGGACTGCCGACATGACCGTACTTTTTCGCCTGGTTTCACGAAGCAATAATAGTTTAATTGTATGAATGGCTGCTACTTTACAGTTTAATATCGTGCTCAAATTGTTCTTATGGTTTTTTTTTTCTTCCCACATGATTTTCTAAAACTATCTGATATTCCTTAAAATATATTACCTTTTTCCGATAAATTCAAGAGTCCCCGAAGTTGCTGTGTTCTCGCATTTCAGCACTTTTCAAGAAAAAAAACCTACCATGAATATTACGATCGTAGAGCCAATTACCGTGGGACGCCCCTCGGTTGGATCAGCACCGGAATGCTCTCGTAATGCTAGCATACCTACGTTAGGTCCTTTGATCCTGAGTGAATTTCTCAAATGACCTCATAAATTGCTTATATCTTCTTATGCTGATTTTCCAGTTCTTCCCACCCCCAGCCGCACTTACAGAATAAAACTGCCCTATGCTTGTAATGTTGCCACCTCAACAATAAATCATTGGCGACGCGCACTGAGGGGCCCCGTGCGATCATGCGTTTTCGCAGTGTTTCGTGCTGTAATAAGATTACTCGAAATTCCGCTAGCTAAAAACCTCTTATACATACTGTTCCTCGAATTTTGGGAACTTAATTATCCACGCTATAGTTGGACGGGGAACATTCTTTTGAAATCCCAGGTTCCCAGCTTTCTAAGTTTCCGAGTTACCGAAATTGCAGCCAAAAAATTTCACGGGGCCGTGCGTAGCCACCACGCATAACGGGGGGCTGAATTTGGTAAATTCAAGTTGTAGATGAC